AGCTGGAGGGTTACAGCTCAGCGCAGGACTGAGATTAAAAAAACCTGGGGGGGGGGGGGGTGATCCAAAAGGGAAAAAGATGTGGGGAAAGTGCTTTCTTTCAAATTACACCATGATTCCAAGATAATTGATCAGTCTGGGGAACATGATATGTCCAGTGCACTTTGCAAATTCATGCACCAGAGACTGGACGCCATAATTATGGCTCCATGTTAAGCTTTTACTGTAATTATATTCAGAAAGAACAATCAGCGGTTTTGGCAGTTTTTTCATCGCGTATGAGAAGAATTATGTTTTCTTTTTGGGGAAAAATAGAAGTTTCGCAATCTTTCTTGTTAGCCTGTGATAAGTCTCTGAGGTGAATTCTAAAAAGTTGTATATATGTTGTATTATATCAATTCATATGTCCTCCTTTACAATTATAAATAGCCATGAGGATTTCCTAGTATGAGGAGGATAAAATTGTTAAAGCATTGATAAGATAAATAATTCCATACAGATTCACTTTCAAATAAATTTTGAAGCAATATTGTTATCAAGTGTAAAATCCCATATTGCACAGCTGTAGAAAGTTTCTTTCATAGATTATGATTGAAAGAAAGTTTGATGCATTTAAAAATATTTATTTTCTATTAAACGGTGTTTGTATTTAGCAGCAGTAATTGCTGTTTGTTTTGTTTCAGTTAAAACCTACGTGGTGATTAATGAGGTAAGTGTCATTCAGCTGTTTTTTGCACTTCCTCACCTGTTCCAGCATCTCTCACAGCACTCGACATGCAACATGACCACATACCAGCTTGATGACAGACGGGGTCAACACAGCGGATGACAGTTGTGCTATTTGACGCACAGGAATGAATGAATAATGAAATAATAACAGGCCCCATGTGTCTTCATGCATTTTTATCACACAAATGAGGTTTATGGGACAGACAAAAGCATCAACTCTGTGAAGATGGTTTGAGTTATCTAAGAGCCAAATAGAGTTAAAAAAAGGAAAAAGAAAGGATTGTGTGTCACTGCCTTTGTCGAGGATTAAACATGTGGTTGGGACTAAAACTTGAGGCATATTGTTAGTGTTGTGGTTTTCAGTTCCAGTGACAAAATAAACTTCAGGAGTTTTTGCTTGTGAGAAAAAGTGTGTTTGCATATGTGAATCTGTCCTGGTTTTTAGTACGTGTTTATGTAGAGTCGCAAAATAGAAACACCCACATGAAGAAACGTATACACTCACACACAGGTTCATGGTTTGCTGCTACCAGATCATGCAGAATTGCAGAAACTACAACAAAGGAACATAAAAATACGCTTTACGGACCGGATCGGACTGAAACCGCACATTTTCTTTCAACCTATGCTTCAATCCTATCGTTGTGAGAGTCATCACGGATCTCTATGACCCGTTGAAAAAACTCAAACTCAATAGAGTTTTTGGTAAAGAATCAAGATGATGCACTGCAATAGAATTCTTCCACTTTACAAACTCACACCGCATGACAGCAGTATGGAATCGGTCAAAAAGCCGACTGGCAGTGTCCCCATGAACCTTAATGTGTATCCCTAATGTGTGAGTTACGTCCTGGTTCCTCCCGGGCAACATTAAAGAAGCAGCTGAGGCGTTTTGGTTCCCGTGGCTGGACAGCACCAGGTGTGGTGTGGACACGGATCCACCTCCACCCAGCCGGCTCAACACCAGCTGTGGTCAACGTGGCTCATTCCGGCATAAACCCACAGCTGAAACCATGAGAACAAGCACACCTGGAAGTGTCTAAAGGGACTGTTATTTCTAAGTCATTCTATAGAACAGGTATGAAATCAAATCACCAAAAAACTAATATCTGGTTTCTGCTCGGACAAAACGTTATGCCCTGCTGCGCCCTGCCGCCTACAAGTGATTATAAAGCCATTGTCCAACACGTTGCTCCTCCTTCGATTCAGCATCTATTGCTAAAGACTTTGTCGACAGGCCATTGAGGTGGTCCATATGGCGGTGTGAGGGCACAAGGCCCGTGACTCTCTGGAGGAAATCAGACAAAGGCTCAGCCGGCGGGCCCTCAGCCGCTCACAGCCTCAATGGAGCAGCGGCCGATCCCCCACTGGGGCCGGTTGCCTGTACGTTCTCCAAACCAGGGTCGGATCTATGGAAACTGGCTACTCCGACATAATACGTTCAGCCATCCATACTGCTGCCTCCTGGGTCACGTGGCCTCTGTCTTTGAAGGGGAATAGTAGCTGAGGAATGTTTAACAATCTATTGGCATGTGACAGATTTACGTCTTTTTGTACGTCTTCACCAACCATATGCTGTTATTAGACAGTATGATGAAGTTTTGTGCTTTGTCAAAGTGTTTTTTACGAATGAGACAGCTTGACGTGCGTGTTGAGATGTTATATTGACTGTCAGATCCGTCCCAAATAAAGGGTATTGTACAGTTGGTGAGGGATTCAAACTGTATCCATGGATGTTTAAGACAGATTTAAATAAATGTTTAGGAATATGGAATTAAGAAATGTAACCGGTATCAAGCTTGTGACATGGCTTTTGATACAGACATTTAATCATGCCAAAGAAAACAAACATGACAATTAGAGGAAGAGAGAGAACGACAGAGAAGGGCCACAGAACTCCCTTATCTCTTGTTGGCTCATTTGAACATACTCCTAAAATGTCAGTGTGTCAACACGTTCTTTCAAAGAGATCATTGTGAGAAAAGAACTGAGTGTTTCTTTCAGGAAGATCGGCAATCCCTGAACTTATGTTAATGCAGGAAAAACCCATTGGGTAAGAAGATGTGCAGCCAAATCTGCTTATGTAAACACACTACCACGGTCCATTCACCTCAGCAGAACAGAGCAAATCTCTCTGATTGTGGCGGAAATGTTGAAATTATTGGATGAGCTTCTCACATGACATGTCACCAACTGGCCCTCATTTGTAGCTTTTGTGTGTGCGTGTGCGGGTTTTCAGCACAAATCACTTCCATTTGTATGTTTGCTTACCCAAACCACACTGCACATGTGTGTTGTTTCTGCAGCCTCACACTGGTTCGGGAAGGAAATGGAGCGGCGAGAGTAAAGTGTGCATCGTGAGGACATGTCAGGCATCCTGTGTGACCGGGGGGCACTTTGATCTGAGGCCCTCAGAAGTCACCTTTCACTCCAAGCTGAGAAAACCTTCCCCAAATGCTTTGGCTTTCATACAGCACTCTTTTGCTTTCGTCTTGTTCTGTGTTTTACTTTCTTAGTTTCATTCTCACACACACACACACACACACACACACACACACACACACACACACACACACACACACACACACACACACACACACACACACACACACTCTTGAAGCCTTTGTGGCATGTGAGAGAAGTCAATATGTGTTCATTCGGATGTCACCTCCCTGCACCCCCACCTGTCCGTCTGGTCTCCATGGCATCATCTGTTACAACTGTTTGAGATCTAAAACACAGGCAGTCGGCACTGTTTGGAGCACAAGATGGAGATTGAGCTCATTGTACATTCTATGAACTGGAGGATTTTTACTTATTTGAGTAAATCCCAAGCTGCAGTAAAACAGTTTTTCTGTTGGAGCCGGCGTTTTCAGATGGTTTCCTTTCACACAGCTATTTCCAAAAAATGGAGGACTGAAGAATAGAGAAAATTATACAGAGTACTTATTCACATTACGTCTCGCCGGGGTCCACAAAAAATGTGGCAAAACCCATTCTCTGTATACGTCTGTGTATATATACTGAACATAAGTGTTTGTTGTGTCCAAAGTAAATTATTTCAGATTGTATTTATATTGTGGCGTTGCATTTAGTTCAGTTATTTGTATTTGGTCTAAACAAGTCTGTGAAAGTATTTCAGGTATTAAAGCGTTGGAGTGAGTGATCAGAGCAAAAGACAAAGGCTCGCTGATGTTTTCATTTCAGAGTTTGGGAATAAACTTCTGATACGGAAACACACACAAACAGCAAGAGTTCACATTTACTCGTATATTACACACATGTGCATACATACCAGAGTGTTTATTGTGAAAGATAGAAACCAAAAGTCTGGAAATGGACTTCACATCTGCATCTAGTTGAAAAACACTAATAATACCAAACACAACAGTTAGGACGTGTATGTGTGCCTGAAAACAGATAAGACTTTTTAGTTATAAAGGCCACTGTTTAGGAATTCACTTCAACTGAGAAGTTTCAGTCCTTGTCCATAAACAAGCGGGGAAGAGTGTTTGTGTGGGTCTGTGTGTGTGGGGGTCTGTGTGTGTTACTGCGCTTTGTTTCTATCGTCTTCAGTTCATAAGAACCATCAATGTAACAGAACACCTCAGAGTGCGTCGTCTCTAGTTACACTTGTGATGAATTAATTTGGGGCAATTAAGTCCTTGAGAAGACAAACCAGGTCTGAAAACAAACATGAAGAACATTCCCTTCATCTTTTTGGAACATAGGCAACCGTCATAAGGACCTTTTTTGAGCTGAAGATAATGCATTCGGTGTTTTAGGCTAGATTATGCAAATAAACTACAAAATGTAATAAATGAAATAACAAACTAATACTACATTAATATTTGCAATGTGGTGGTCATGCCAAATTACGTCCAAAACGCGCTAAACTGCAACATAACATGTTGTGCATGTTTGTGCGTGCGTCTCTCTAATGTGTGTCTGTGTGTGTGCGTGGAATGATTTGATGCGTCTTCAACGGCCGCTGCGGGTATATTGATGTTCAAATTTAAAACCGGAAGACTGTTTTACAAAATAAACGCATATAAAATCTGACTCTGTGAATACATTTTTTCCAGTCACTGACAAATGTCACAGGATATAACTATACTTAAGAAACCACTTTGTCGAAGTTTGCCACGTTGTATCTCTTGGAAGATAATTGTTAAGATGAAGCGCGTGCCGCTTCTTTCTTTTAATTTGGTAGCCTAGACCGGAAGTAAAAATTCCTCTTTTTTAGGGGCTTGACAATGAAAGGTATTTAAAGCTCCGGCACAGTCCCGTCTGTCACATCTATTTTGGACTTTGGACTTACTCTGAGCGGGATCAAACCTTCATTGCAGAATGGATATGAAGCTGTTTGCAGTCGTGGCTGTGCTCACATTGGTGACATATGCTCCTCCATCACAAGGTATAAACATATTTTATATTTATTCTATATTTTTTCGGTTCGGGGTTAATTTAGACTGATGACTATCTGCTATATATGTCTTTCAGAAAAACAACTAAAGGTGAGAAGTTGAGAAAAATGAGTGCTTTCCACTCCCCAATTTTTGTTATTTTCGAAACATAATCAATTATACTGAAACCCGGCTGTTCAATGATTTTCGAGTCTCAAATTCATGTCATCCAATTTATCCAAAGAATGGCCCGTTTATTTGAACGACCAGATTTAAATATATAAATGGTTTTGCATATTATGTAAGTGAAAAAGATAAATGTAAATTGATGCAATTCTCTTGATTTTAATAAAACATAATATTTACTCTTACTCCAGTCAAATGGATGCTTGTTCTGCAGTGAAAAAAACAAAACATTTTCCGCCGCGCGTAAAGCACCAACAGGCTGCGCATGTGGCTCTAGCAGTAAACAAACCCCAGTGGGACCACCGATCAAGGTGTGTATTTATTCTGCTCTTTGTTTTCATTTAATTATGCGCAAATGAGGCAGCTAAAGACAAAGCCGATGCTGGTCTACGTGGCGACAGCATGTCACCCAACTTGAAGGTGTTTCACCTTTTATCATGGAAATACCGCGAGGTCATGTGTAAAAAATAATTAGCATAGTTTAATCTTCAGCAGTGCTTCTCACCATCTGTTCGTGACCTCCCACTTTCCAAGACAATTGTAATTATTGTTTAATCTCCTACCAGTTTTTCTTCCGCTCATGGTGGTGCACAATAAAGGGGAATACTGGATTCACAATCAGAATAACACTATATTTGAACAATTCATGGCCAAAAAATTTGTAGAAAGGAAAAAAAACGTAAACTGTTCCACAATTAATTCTAAATGTGTCATGTGTATTCCTGCATTTTTCAATACTGTTATAAAGTTTATAATTTTCACGAAAAAACATATCCTATTTATTTTTCCACTTTAATCTACCGTGAACATTTCCTGAAAACGTGGAAAGTTCTCACATCCATCTTGCAGTTCAGGGACCACACAGTGCTCACATGTGTTTGCCTCAAAGAGCCAAGTGTTGGGGGTCTGCTCTTCTGCCTCCTTGAATGTCCTTGTTCTTGAATGAACATTGCTAAAGGCAAAATGTTTACTTTAATCAAATGTTGGTCAATGTAGTTGCCACCTCACTGCCACACTGCTAAAGATTGTTTTGTTGTTTTCATTAAAATGGCTTTAAATATATAATATTCATCTTCTTTCCCAGCGAAGCCTATAAGTCTGGTGGAGAGATGCTACTGTCGTTCCACCGTTAACAGCGTCCCGAAAAGCTTCATCCGAGAGCTCAGGTTCATTCACACGCCAAACTGCCCCTTCCAAGTGATGTGAGTATTGTTTGTGATGCCGCCCCTCACAAAGACACCGATTATTGCTTCACTTTTCTGCAAGTCAGACAGGTTTCCCCCTTCCAGGACATTTCTCACCATCAATCTCAGAGAAGCGACAGGCCAGAGAAAAGAGTTGTGCGTGCATGTGTACACATACGCCCCTCTGCCACTCGTTTTCACACGCATGCACAGGAAGCATTTACAACAGACCCACTGACGCATCCACAGGAAGTAGAAAGTAAAAGGGAGTTAGAAATTGGATGCAGTTTTAAAAGCAGTAGTTTGTAGTAGTAGTAGTGTAGTTTGTAAAGCAATAATTGTGGGTTTTGTAAGCACTTGTTTCTTGTATCGAAGTTGCAACCTTTGGTCCTGATCCAATTAATATTTACAGCCTCATAATAAGGTTTAAGTGTGGAGCAGCGCAACTCAGTTGGTCACAATAGACAGAAGAACTTCAGGAACAGTTAAGTTGGAGGTCCGGAAGAGGAAGAACTGAGTTTTTGATAGTGAAAAACAGGACGTGTGCACCAAAGGAGGCATGATCTCTCACATAGAGCATTATTTCCAGTCTTGACCTATTCTGTAAATACCTGCAGCTTGCATGACCGAGCCACATGGTAACGGAATGATCTCCATGTGCTTAAACCTTTACAGCACATTATTTAGGGAGTTCAATCAAGGGTGAAATGTCAAACTTGCGGGTTGGGATCTTTGCGAGCTGCCTAAACGTGCATGTTCCTCAGCTGTTACAGTATGTATGTTAAAATAGTGATTGGTCATCACTGTGAAAACGCTCTTTTCTGTGTCAAACTGACAGGTGGCGTTTTTCACTCCGTTTAATAATGTTTTAAAACACCTGACGTCACAGGTTTTCATCACGCAGCCGGTCATCTTCCACTGAGCACTTTTTTTTTTCTTTTTCTGATCAGTGCCAAGCTGAAGTCAAACAAAGAGGTGTGCGTGAATCCAGAGATCCGATGGCTGCAGCAGTACCTGAAGAACGTCATCAACAAGTGAGTTTGGACAAATCGAACAGAGATTCCGTGTGTGACACAACACGCGGTTCCGTTGTCATATGTCGACCTTTACCTCAGGACTGCAGGAGCCCTGCAAAATCACTTCCACTCTATAGAAATGTAAAGTAAGGAATGTAAACGCCGAAATGTGCATTTTAGGATCCATCAAGAGACAATTGTGGGAGGCACATCTTCCTAAAGTGCCCACTTTGGATTGGAGCCAGCACTGGAGAGACATGCTCGTTCATGCCCAAGCGGGATTGGAAGACTGGGTTTCATGTGGGATACTACTCAAACTTTTAGAATGTGGTCTGATGATCATCCCTGATGATCACAAGCCACCGGGTGAAGTTTGGTAAAGATTGGACCAGCTTTAAGTCACAGCCAATAATAACTGTCTCCTTCGTGCTCAGAGGCAGAAGACACGGAAATTGGCGACGTTAATTCCATAAGTCCCCCTCCTTGCTCTTGTGCTGTCATACGAGGATTGAGCTTTGCTGCAGCGGTGAAATGAAACAAGCTCCGCTGTGTGGCGTAGATAAGTGTTTGGGGACGCCATAAGGGAATTTCATTTCCACAGGAAGAAAACCAAATTATTCCTGCAATCAGCGACCCAGTGAGTTTGTTGATGCTCGGGCCCGGGACATGCGCACTAAATACCCGCCCCCGGTCCTGCAGTCAGACTGTCCGTCTCAAGGATGATTGTGGAGCCCTTGACTCGTCGAGGTGTTAAGGGTCCTCTTGCATGACAAAACAGCACACGAAGAGAGTAGACGGTGGTCAATGGATCAGACCTAATGTGTTTCCAATTACACATTCCCTGAAGGGATGAACCTATTTACTGCGTGTGTAAAGGAACGCGATGGTTAGTCATGTGTTGTGCTGCTTTTTAGTTGGCTAAATAAGATCGTGATTGGCTTTTGCAGCAGTTGAAATGTGGCTCAGCCTTTAGAGAGTATTGTTCCAATGTCAACAATAACCTCCCAGCCATGTTTGTACTGTAAATATATGTTTGTGTTGTGGTATGTACATATATGTCATTGCGCAAATGCAGAAAATTACCATATTGAAAAATTACATCTTCAGAAACAAGCCTCCAGTCACCAGCAAAGTGACTCTAAAAGTTTAATAAAAAAAACATTATTTCAATCGAGTCAGGAATCGCCAACTGACTGATAATCAAAAAGTGGACAGATACCTGTAACTGAATGCACAATCACGTTCAGCTTCTTCTAAAATCTTAAGCTTTTGCTTGTGGGTCAAACACATTTTGGTGCTGTCAATTTAAAGCAGCTGTTTGTGTGTGAGGGTGAATACATGCTGAATTTTGTCACCTAGTCTTTGTGATCCTGGCATTGACAGACATGGCAGCTCTACATATTTGTGTTGCTTTGCACAACAAAACAAACCACTTACCGGTACATAAAATCTGCTTTTTTTTACAATTCCAGAATGAAGAAATCCAAACAGGGCAATTAAAACCTTCCGCCGAGATCCTGCCGGGCGATCGCCGAGGGTTTGAAGCGTCGCGGCTTAGTAACATTTGAAAGGAGAACATCTGGTATGTTGAACAGCACTTATCCCGGCCGGCTGCTGCGCTGCAGCCTTTAGCATGAAATGAACCTATAAGTCCTCCAGAACACCAACCCACCAGCCATGTTGCCGCCATAACCGCCACCGCCCTTACGACTCGTGGAGATTGTAGACATTAATAGTGCAAAGTGCAATTATATCTGTGTGTGTTTTTACATTACATTACATTTTTCTAACTATAATGTAGACACGTCTTTTGTAAATGGACATTAACAGTAAAGAGCTACTTTTTTAAAGAGATCCACATCCCTCAAGCCTCTGTGTCATTTAAAAAAGAGGAATCGACCGTGCGGGGGGGTGTTGATGGGAAGACGTGAGTCAGCAGGAGTCAAACATGAGTTAGCATCCCACTTGCATGTATCATAGTATTGTCTATAGGACAATATAATACAGGCTGTATCTAAGAGGAGATCTGCTTAACTTGATCTTCTTTGATTTTTGGCAGATTTGACAAAAAGCCATGTTTCAGGTTAATTGACATTTCAATAGGTGCCAGCTAAATGTAAAATGTAAGATCCTAGTGAAAATGCCTTTTCCGATTTGTTTGCTACGGAAATTAGAAAGCCAGAGGTGCTTAGGCATTTCTGAGCAGTTCTGCGGCTATGACTATTCTGTGTTAACCAACAAGAATGCTATTTTCACCCTGAGAGAAAAGCTAAACATCTGGATCCTAAACCGTTTTATTTGAGCAACATTTACTGGAATCGCTCAATGATTGTCAAGAACAAATGGTGATATCCACCAATCACAGTTAGCCGCCTCATCAAATCAGTCATTGGCCTTTAGATTAAATGTCATTTTAAAGAAGGATATAGTGCTATTTTTATAACCGTTACCAGATCAGCAGTGATGCACAATGTTGTACCGAGAGCCACAGTGGAGAAAGTATTGTTTTACTCACAACAAATAGACGTGCATGGCTGGGACCACCTATAGCTGTTATGCAGATAGCAATGCACTTTATATCTGATGTATTCATGTTTTTAACAACAACATTTACTAAGTCTGATCATTAAAATGTCTTTTGTCTTTTTTATGTTACTCACGCTATTTGCATTCTGTTCTTTTTGATCATTGACTGTGTAGCTGCATTTAACTGTTAAACCCTGGAGATATAGTCGTCGATTCGTTTTAATCTCCTTGTCACATGTACATTTAATATTATACAAATGTTTTATTTTTGTACTCATTCATGCATTGATATATGATATCTAAAACGTTTTAAATACAGAAATTGTATCCTCACAATTGAGTCACCTAACCCAAGTTGTATTGTTAAAAAACCTGTTGGTCAGTAAAGAAAAAATATGTGATTTCCTTTACACAAACGCCTTCTAACCAGTGCTCACACACAGACACACACACTCCGGTCATGCAGCTCTTTGCGTCTTCATATCCAGTGTAAAGCAATGCCAACACACAGCTGATGTAATCTCACTGCACAGATCTAGACTTTGATGTGCGAGCACATGTTCAGCTTTACTCACAGGGGCAAATGAAAGGACAGTGAACCTGCCTGTGATTTAACTATTAACTCAGCCGGCCACTATTAGGGAAACATTAGAGCAAAAACAGAAGAACTTTTCACTTCCCTCTAAGGGCATTATGCGAGGCGGAGCACAGTAGTTCATGTGATGATCAAAACATCAGGGGGAGATAAAGGGCCGTGGGTTCCAGTCCACAGCCAAATTGTCCTTGTTTACTGATTAGCTTTGAAGTCCTTTTTAAGAGGGAGTCAGCAGCACGTGTGAGATAAAGCCATTGATTTAGTCACTCATCAGTGGAAATCGAGTGGAAATGAATTGGATACAGTCTTCAGTTACAATCTTCATTACTTTTTGCTCCCCAATAATGTGAACATTCGGCAGCTTGTAACTTTTTCACGGTGTTATCTATCTGTAATCTGAATAAACCATTTAAAAAAAAGTGTTTACTCTTTACTCACTTTATATGACAAATGCAGAAATGTAAGCCTCCTTCCCCCAAACAAGAGGGACAGTTAGTATAAATACGATAGCTCCAAAGTGTATCTGTCAAAGACTTGTCAAATTAAGTCCTATCTTTTTTTAAAAAGCAGACAAAACTATGTGTCTGAATGTGCAGCCGTTAGATTTAGCCAAAATGGGAGATTTTTCATACCTTATCTGAATAAACCATTTAAAAAAGAGTGTTTAATGAGAATATATATGATTATATTAAACTAAAAAAGAATGGCCTTCAATCATGACAATGGTATTATGTACTTATCTACATGATCACTTTGCGTGTTGTACAAAATCCTGCATTCATGTGTTCTCCAGTAAAAGCAGTTGTATATAATATTATTGAACTATTTTTGGGATCACTGCCAGCAACCACCCATTAAAGCACGTAGGCGGCGTAACTGGTGCCACAAAGCCTGAGGTGTAGAACTATTTATTTTTTACGTTCATATTACGTTAACCAGTAAATGTTGAAGAAAGAATTAGCTCATCATATAAACGGTCTTGTCTGTGATCAACAAAACAGCGCGTTTAACCTAGTAAAGACGTTTCTAGGGCAAAGTCTCCATTTAGCAGAAGTCCATGGAAAGTAAATGAGGCACAATAAAGCACTAATGCCTCTTCCAGTCAAGTTTACTGAAGTGCCACATAACAAGGTGATTAAAGGAATAATTTAAAGGCAGATTTAACCGAGTGATCTCCCACAGTGTTGTCGTGTTTGTCCCTCAGGCTCTCTGGGCCTCACTGCCACTTGGATAATGAGAAAATCAGCTGATAGGGCAACTTTTATAATCAGGACTTTATTGAATTCAAGCCTTTGTTTTATGATGATATTGTAAAATATTCGGTAAAATAATGACGCAAGAAGGCTCCTCAGCACCTCGGTACGAGCTGCACAGCGAGCACTGTACTGACTTACTCAAAGGCTGAGGAATGTTTGAGACAGGATAAGATGTATGAAATTCATATTCAGCATTGCCCTCAAAACTCCTTTGGGGTTTGGAGTTGAACCACAATGTCAGGAGAAAACTTTCACCATGACAGACAAATGAAGATCTGTCCTCTGAAAAGCAAGAAATGACACGGAAATACAGGACGAGTAGGGAACATGTGCTCGTTCAAGTTACAGTACATTTTCCCTCCATCTATAACTTTAAGGGGTCCCAGATGTGCAGCAAATGAAACTCCGTTTAGTGGTCAAGCTATAGGCATGAAAATATGAAATGTGTGTGTCTATGTGTGTGCGTGAGATGGTAACAGGGCTACTTCCAGAAGACCCCACGGACATTTCTCTCCCCGGTCAGTCCAGTTGTCTCTAATTGATTCTAATGAGTGAATCTGTGTGTGTGTGTCTGTAGGAGTCGGTATAGATATATTCACGTGGAATGTCACTTCCCAACTCTACTCCCAAGACCATTAACGTTGCTCCAGCTCTGTACCTGCAGCTGTACTCAACAATATAGAAGCCTGTGTATTTGTCAGCGCCTGCAATGTGACAACCCAATAATACAGTTTCTTATAAATGAAAACTATTAGTTACTGAACTGTTGTTCTTCGTTGCTTTGTTGTCCACTGAATATCTGATTATATTGGTGTTTTCTTTATTTTTAGGAAAATCGTATTTATGAAATGATGCGTGTGTGCTGTTCTGCTGAAACCCTGGACTCTCCATAACCTTTAGGAGGCCGAGTGATACAGTTTAGCAGTCAAAGTGTCATTTTCTGTGTCGGTCCAGTCAACACTTGTCTCAGAGCACAGCAGATATTGCGGGGCGCACACTCGGCTTTCATGTGGGATTGATTGATTTCGTTTTTTTCCAAATTACTTTCAGTCTAAAGCCACCCAGCGTCAGACTGTGTAACATTACAGTATAGAGACAGCTGTATCCGTAGCTCCTGCTCTCTCTCAACCACAGCTCCCCCCTCCTGTTGTTATTTACCCCCCTCTGCCCCGGACCAGGCCGCTGCCCTGGGGCATCATGTGCACCAAAATCACACTCCCCAAGGGAGACATTAGCAGAGTCATAGCTGTTCTTGTATCAGATGACGCTTAGCACATTTCCACCAGTGCACACTCTGGAAAATCCCAAGTAATGATTTGTAAATTACTTGTTGATTGTGCAGAATTGTGTTAATTGCCTTAACACTGCCAGTGACCCGCCGGAACATTAATCACAATTATGACAAAATTACTCAGCTGATTTGCTCAGAAGAGTTAGTCACTGCGCTGGCTGTGGGGACCAACATGCAGTTTGTAATAACGGCGGCATGTGTGTGTCTGTTTGGGAATGAATGGGAGGCTAATAGAGGGGCCCCTACGAGCGGGTAAAATAGCCCTCCCGTAGTCTCTCTACCTTTCATGTGCTAATATTGTCGAGGTTATGAGTCCATAACACCATCCTTCTTCACACAGATGTTGGTATGGACTTAGGGGCCTTCCCTCCACAGCTATGGTCCACATTCCTTCAGTGCGATTGTGTTTTCAGATTCAGGAGCAACACATCAGACTGTGATTGTTAGGCTGCGGATGAAACAAAGGAGTCACACTCTCAGGGGACGGCAGGAGGTCTCGGTCCGCGGGGCCCGGCAAAGCTGTATCTTCAACCAAATTTAAGTCTCACACATATGTAACAAACTGAGCTTCCCTACATCCCCATTCCTCTCAGGATTATCACCCACATACTAATTGTTTAATCGACCCGGGTGCCCATACGTAGCTGAGAGCAATGTGACACCCTCAAGGATGTGACTAACCATGAGAAGAACATTGTCTAGATATGAATGTACTGCACTCAACTTATCTCAATTCCCATTGAGGCCGATGACTGTAGAGCCTTTTATGTCGGCCTGCAGTGTGACTCAGTGCCCGACCACGCTTTCCAGGTGCAACAGACATGGAGGTCTGAGGGCCAATGTCTGGTTGGAAAGAACTGATACCTAACGAATACTTAGTACATTTTCATCAAAAAGTGTGGTTCGGATCAGATAGTGACAAAGAAAGCTCATGATATTCTCCAAAAGACATGTCATAGTGGTCTATATGCTTAATCTGGGTGTGTCTACGTTTATTTAAATAGGGCTCAGGTCTGGAGGGATTTGATTTGTCTGTGATATTTATTATGAAATAATAATTAAATACCATGAAAAGGATTTCCAGAGTGAGGGGAAAGACAGCGAGTGATGCTGTTCAGTAGAAAGAAGATAAAGTTTTATTGACAATCTGCCTTTACTCAATCCCTCGAGCTAAAGGTTAAAAACTTTAGTATTACCACTTTCATTATTATCTAAGGCCTTGGCAGTTGTTATTCAAAGCAGAGCTGGAGGAAGAAATCTTCTGCTCTGTCTGAAGGCCCAGCACATGCAAACTGATGACGGTTTCAATACACAGCTTCTCACTGGTGGTACCCAACCTGCCCTTTGATAGCCTTTCTTTGAGGGAAATTCAATCCTACAAAGTTTTTACAGTTTGGGTTTGTTTCCTGTTTTATCTTGTAGTTTTCTGCCACTTGTGTCCCTGGTTCCTGCCCTGTCCTGTCGCATCAACCCCTGTGATTGCCATGTCCATGATTGTTTCCAACTGTGTCCAATCACCTGCACCTTCCCAGTGTATTTAAGCAACGTGTGTCTCTTGTCCCTTGTCGCTCTTGGCCAATGTCTTTCCCGTGTGTTTGTGAGTTCTTGTCCTGTCTGTGTTTTGCCCTATAGGCGTTTTTGATTTCTTGTGAAAATAAAGTATTTTGGTTGGTCACACTCTGCATTTGAGGCCTGCGTCCTTCCGCCACCTGACGTGACACAAAGGAATATGTGAAGTAAAGTTTTGAAGTTAAAGTCATGGGCACAGAGCAATATTTAAGACCGTTCACCCTGCGTTGGTGAAATTATTTCCATCTATCTGACCCACAGGAGAACACACAGCGCAGAACAAAAAACGCAGACAAACCAGTTGTCAGCTGCATTTTACAGAAAACCCTTCAAAGAAACTGGAACAAAGGCTTCCTAATACCCAGACTGAAAGGAATTCTCTATCAATCTGGTATGAATCTTATGGTACATGAAGGAGATTCTGTGCCCGGGTACAGTGTTTTGCTACTGCCTGCTAATAACAGGAACTATTTTAGAGAACAAAATAATTTCCGTCATAGTCATTACAGATTTCATTTGGTCCAATCAAACAAATAATTGCAGCATGTGTATTCCAGCCGGGGCCCTTGGGACAATTCCAGGTTTTGCAGATTATGAAAACTGTGTCCAAGTTGAGTCCAGAAAGCGATAGTAAAAGCCTTCTATGCAGGACAAGTTGGATGTGAGACACGAATCGGGCCCGGCTCTTCCTCAGAGGAGTGTTTTTCTTCCTTTGGCCTCATTACAGAAGAGGATGCAGTTTCTCGCTGTTTCTGCAGGACCGACTGCACAGCATAACACTGCCTCCTCAAAGAGGAATATTTCAGATGAATCTGCCATACATAAGTCTGTGTACATTGGAACAGACACTAAACAGAACCATACATGCTATGATTTTTTTTAAACGTGAAAGTCGAAACCAAAAAAAAGCTCAAATCTGCGACATCTCACAGCTGCCCGCAGCCGGAGTTTTGTCTCAAGCTACAGACACTTGTCACCCGGTCTGAGGAGTAATTGCATACCTAGCACTCAGTTAATATGTGAAACAATTGATGCACGCCTATTTAATTCATTTTAATGTTACATTTAAAATACCTATTGTTTCTTTCCTGAAGGCTAATTTCCGTTGTGTGTCTTGTTTTCTTTCTTATAACTTTATTCAGCACAGAATATGTTGAAAAGATATAATATATAATAAATAATATTTCTACTACTACATAGTTTGGCTTCCAGTATTGGTGTTAGGGAGACATATATTTGCGGAACTAGTCTTTCCTGAACTTGAAACTTGAAAATCCCTATTTTATATATATATAACTTAACC